AAAGTAAGCACTGCAAGGCTTGTGTTATGGGATACTAGGGTAACGGATAGAATACATATACTGGACATATATATGTATATTTATATAGAAATACATATTACATCCACGACTGGAGTACAAAAGCTCGTGTTCATCACACAATCTGAATAAATGATTTTGTATTTGTGTATTTATTGTATTTTATAAAATCCGTATCCCTCAAATCCCTCGCTTTGCTCGTGATTTAAGTTTTTAACACCCTCGCTACGCTCGGGAGTAAACCTCGAGTCCTTCGTTACGCTCGCGATTTAAATCGTCACCCGCGACAGAAGACACTGCTTTATCCCCTTGGTTAATAATCTATAATCTACTATTATCACAAAGAAAATCGATTCGCTCTGTGTACTTACAAATCGTTTTGTTATTTGGCTGACCTATGACTCACGCGTTCGCGGAATTACGTTTGAATCAGCGCGGCAAAATGGCTTGCCATCTTTTCCTTGTACTGATAACAATGTTGTTATTTTCGTCGCCTGGTATGTGCGCATATTCTTCATGTAAACGATGATACAATGTCAATAGAGTTATGTCACAAAGTCGTAATTTAAAGTAGTTTGACGTTCCTCTTGAGAACATCGCTTTCGATTTTAATTCTATGTTTATAGGCTGTTGTCCTGCCGCCGGCGAGGAAGCGACTAACTATCGCCTATTTTCTCGCTCAATAAACTTACAATAGATATACCACAGGACACAGAAAGAAGTAAGAAGGGTGATCATAGACCGTTTGTACGGGAACCGATGTCGCCGGCTCGACCCCACCTACACTTTCACCTAATAGATAATATGTAGCCAATCAAACGACGCGACATCAAACAATCGAACCAATCACACCCGAGAGCAACGACGCAATCAGATCCCAGTTTTGGTCAAGTTTAAGGTCAAATACATACTTACACATTATTGTGGCGCGCCTGCCCCGCCCACATGGCCCTTTCTGGGTTGCTGTCATACAACCCAGAAAGGGCCATGTGGCTGATCTTGTTGATTCTCTAGGTGCGGGAAACATAAGTGTTATAATATAATTTATTATGTAATAACGTAATTTGACGACTTCCGTGGCCGAGTGGTCTGTTCGCCGGGTTTCATGTTCTTGCCTAATCGAGAGGGGGTTCGAATTCCGGTGGGGGCAGGTGTTTGTGTGATGAATACGAGCATTTGTACTCCAGGCATGGATGTTTAATATGTATTTCTATATAAATCTTATATATAAAATTCTCGTGTCACAATGTTAGTTACTATACTCCTCCAAAACGGCCTGACCGATTAATTATGAAATTTTATATGCATATTCCGTGGGTCTGAGAATCGGCTACTATTTATTTTTCATATCCTTAAGTGATAATGGTTGTCCACCTGTCGGAGTGTTCTGAAACCTACAATGCGCCTTCGCGTCAAAATTCAAAGTAGTGGGTATTGTATTGTGTTCTCATATGGGTTGGGAGGAATGTTATTACTACGTTACAACCCCTAAATTTTTTTTGGACAATATTTTATTTTTATAATGTTGTATTAAAAAATACATACAACCCTCTTCTACCACCTGCCACTATTTTAATGGCGCGATGGCGGTACGAAGTTCGCTGGGTCAGCTAGTATACTTATATATGTATTCTATCCGTTACCCTAGTATCCCGTTACACAAGCCTACATTGCTTACTTTGGGGCTAGACTAATTGGTGTGTATGTTAAATATAAAATATTTTAAAAAAAGACTCTCGTCATTGAATTGACGCAAAGTTTAATAAAACCATCACTTTTTTACCTATTAACCTTATAATACCAGTCTTTACGAAAATAAGATGCATTATCACATGCTTATAGACTGTACTAAGGTATAACAATAAGACAATGTCATTATTGCAAAAATCTTAATATATATAAATCTCGTGTCACAATGTTTGTCCTCAATGGACTCTTAAACCACTGAACCGATTATAATAAAATTCGCACACCATGTGCAGTTCGATCCAACTTGAGAGATAGAATAGTTTAAATCTCAAATTATAGTCGCAATTTTAATTTATTGCAAATTATTACTTTTGGGCGGTACGAAGTTCGCCGAGTCAGCTAGTATAATATAAACTTGTTCGGTGTAGGGATATTCGCAACAATATTGGCAGATCCGCAGTCGGAAATATTCTAATAGTTTTATATTAATTTTGTAATTTATAATGTTAGGATATGATGGAGCTGGCATATCTTTATAAGGTAAAAGCCTATAAATAAAGAAGATTGAAAAAAAACCTTACGAAAATAATAAAGTTCCGGTGAAAACTGAAACTTATATAAGCATCGTACGCAGATTTGCGACGCTTAAATAAATTTACTCGAAAGAGTATTTTGTCTGACCTTGGATGGACCTTGTCACAGCAATCACCATTTCTTTAACCTTGACCGCGAATGGTTTCTGTTACAATGGATGTTTTAATTGACGTTTAGTTCTTCAATAGCCTTTGCCGATAACGTCTTACCGCCAATAAGAGGCAGGCTTATCTTTAGCTAATATGTCGCGTCAAATTCATAGTAATGCGACAAATTTTGGCTTTTATGAGCCCTTTTACAAAATTGATAGTAATTCTATTTAATTCAATATCAAAATACGAGGTAAACCTGCATTATTTTTTGGGAAAACTCACGGAGGTTAGATGTTTTTTTTGATAATTAATGAGATTGAAAATCGAAATTCTAATACATTATGTTACAACAAAAACATATTTCTGATGTCGTAGTAAATAATTTGATCTAATTTATTAAACATTATTGAGAGATTGAGGCGTTTGAAGTTGTGCATATTATCGTTTTTTCCGTAAACTAGCTGCAGTAAAACGATCAGTACAAAAAAAGGAAAATAGTATTTGCAAATATTCTACATTCAATTTCAATAGGAAGAATAAATCTACTGTTTACTTCTATTGGAAATAGTCAAAATATCTTCTAAGGGGGTTAACTAGGCGCTCAAAAATTGCGATTTATTGCAAAAAATGTGAAAGGGCTCTTAAGAGAGGCGTGAAGAAGCATTTTTGCATGTCGGCAAGGTGAGGATGGTTGGTGTGGCAGTTTATAACTGTTGTACCAGCTATCTTCGCGTTTGGACTTTATCACCACTTAACATCAGGTCTGGTAGAGTCATTTGCCTACCTGGTTATATAAAAAGGGCCGTCAGGGCCGCGGTTGGTCAGTGCATTCGCCCGGATTGCGAAGGGTGCGGGTTCGAGTCCCGTCTGCTGCCTGGTCCGCGTGGAATTTTTTCTAGTTATATTTTCTTTAGATTTAAACATCAAGCAGTTACATGCTTAAATAATTGAAATTATAACCTATTATAGTGTTATGGTGTGTATGCGTAAGTTATCAGAAAAGTACTGATTATTAACCAATGTTAGACAATTCTAATGTTCCGCTTTCGACGTAAGAATCCCATATTTCTTACTCAAAATCTTTTTAACATATTGTTACGTGTCGGGATGGGGTTCGAAATTATATGCCAGTTCACGCTTGACAGTAATTTATTAACCACACAATTAACACAGTGTTATCACAAAGCACTCACTAAACACTGTATTTCACTATACAAGTCTCTAAACAATCGCACTTGAACACTTTTGTTGCACTTTGATCGCCTTTGGATTCGCTCCGAAATCGCTGTTGAAACTCAACTGTCTCTGCGCGGCGCCAATCGCGCTTATATACGCCGATCGACGCATTCTAGAAAGTACCCGCGAGTACAAAGTACCTACTTATACCTACGCAGGTAACGCACATAACTTGTGCTAACTCCCTTACGCCGCACTGCATAAGGCTCATTTTAGAATGAGCCGCATTACTCGACCTCTATCGCGACCCGCAGTGCTCTGGCATATTCGATCTCTAGCACTTTCGCGGTTCCGTTTCGAGAGCGTTTGTGACAATATCTGGCAATGTCCAAAGTATATACATATGCAGTGTCCAAAGTACTTATATACATATAGCGCTTTTTTTGATGATAATATTTTTTTCAGTAACAACATTTTATTGACTACAGAACTTGGCTGCTGATAGCTAGTAGACATAGGGTACAAATATTAGGTTATATAATTTGGGAGAAAATTGTAGTGACAATGGAAATTCAATGTATTTTTTTCTTTGTCCTTAACAAAGTTATGGGGCGAAAGTGACCGCACGCCACACGAATAATATTATGAAGAACAAGTGGGTGTCCGCGACTATGTCTGGTGATTACCTCCTTAAGTAATTCTCTCCAAATTTCACCTAAATCAGTTTAATAGGGCTGATGACGGGGTACAGTAAATTCTATTTAGTCCGTCAGTTAAATTATCAAAAAATAATGGACACGTATTTTTTCTTTGGGCAATCAACCAAAAGATGACAAAGTTATAGCGCGTCAAAGTTTGGGAGTAGCGGCTCGTGATACTGGGCATCAGTGTAGGCTGTTACAAGCACTTGTGAAGGTCGATAAGCTTCGCCATCGGTTCGCAAAACTACGGCGGGAGACCTTGTACTGAGAAGAACCGGTCAGAAACTCAGCAAGGGCTGTTTTCTCCTTGTATTGTTATTACAGAGTTGTCAAGTTGAAATGGAATGAAGTAATGGAAGGTGACTCTAGACGTATTTCTGAAGTCATTTTTCAACTTGACGACTCTGTATATAACAATACAGGGAAAAAACAGCCCTTGCTGAGTTTCTTGCCGGTTCTTCTGAGTACAAGGTCTCCCGCCGTAGTTTTGCGAACCGATGGCGTAGCTTCTTGACCTGCACAAGTGCTTGTAACAGCCTATACTGAATAAATGACTTTTCATTTCATTTCATTGCAAAAATTACTTCAGTGTCACTTCTGAAGTACTAAAGCAAAGATTGTGACATCTGATTATTGTAATGTGATGTGTGTAAGAAACATATTGATTTGAAGTTGTGTACTTCGTAAACATCGAACAATATCCTCCTTTAACTCGAGCTACACAGGTCTCAGTTATGCATCAACACAGCCATAGTGTACATGCACAGGTTCTACGCGTTCCACAGCTTCACTCAGTTCCACAGGAATGCGATAGCTGCCGCCGCACTCTTTCTCGCTGCCAAGGTATGTTTTTATGTATAAAGCAAAAATTACTGGCAAAAAAAGTCCGCTCTGTTCAAATTTTAGGCAGTATTCGTGCGGGTTCGAATACTATCTAAAATCTGTCAATTTTTTTAATAAATATTAATTCAATAGATTGTTGGTGTTTTTTTATCTCCAGCTGTGGATGCTGAAGGATGAATCGTGGAAATATCCCTCAGGGTCGAGTCTCAGAGACGCCCTCTAGTTGAACCGACCCCCTCAGGTTTGAGTAGCCTAGAGGCTCCAGACGGAGAGGAGACTCCCCCCGTGGGGAGATGCCATTCGCCTGGAATACCTCTAGAAGCACTCGCCAATTCTCGGCTTGAGGTCCCCTTAGTATTTCGCCGTCCCCAAACCCGGTGACGCTGTAAAGGTCATCTGCGACCAACAGCATACAAAGTTGGATTTAGAAAAAATGTGACGTCACGAAACTTAGGACCCGTCCCGTCAGACAATGTTACACTTCGTCAAGCCCCTTCCCCCCCATAAAACAGGTGACGTACTTTATGGATGGCCCCTATGTAATATGAAAATTTCGTTCTTTATCTGAACTCGCAAATTTTATTTGATTATGCTGATTAAAGATTCTGTTTTTATTCTTCAGGTCGAGGAACAACCAAGGAAACTCGAGTATGTGATAAAAGTGGCCCACGTTTGCCTCCACAGAGGTGACGGGGCTAACCCCCTTACCCCGGAACAGTACCAAGAACAGGTGAGAAGAAAAATAAATAATTAAATATTTTCCATCACTCACACTAGTGATGTAACGAATATTCCCATTCGCAAAATCTCTGCGAATGTTTTGCGAATATGAATATTAGAAAAAAACAATTTGAAGAAGTTGTAGTTCTGCCTTTCCTTGAATAATCATTGTTACACAGTTTGCATTTAGCTCGTTTAGCATCGCAAAGTGTGAAATAAGTCCATGTTTCACTAGAATTCGATTTACTCATGTTAATAAATCACTATTACCACTCACAATCTCTAACCTCAAAATTCACTTGTTTTGTTTACGGAAAGACCTGCGCGAGCGGAATGACACTTCAGTCGGATGAGTTCATATCAACTCGGCAATTCGAACGAGACTGCCACCATGCCATAGACAATTGGCGCCAATTTAAAAAAAAAAACAAAATATTCGCATTCGCGATTGTTCAAAAAATGACATTCGTTACATCACTAACTCACACCAATTAGCCTAGCCCCGAAGTAAGCACTGTAAGGCTTGTGTTATGGGATACTAGGGTAACGGATAGAATACATATACTGTACATATATAAGTATCTTATATATAAAATCAAAATGTTAGTTACCAGTCCTCGGAAACGGCCTGACTGATTTTTATGAAATTTTATATGCACATTCTGTGGGTCTGAGAATCGGCTACTATCTATTTTTCATATCCTTAAGTGATAATGGTTGTCCACCTGTAACGTAGTGTTCTCATATGGGTTAGGAGGAATGTTATCCCAGGAAATTGATAGAAGACACCCTCTTTAACAATATAAAGAAAAAAAAACTTATATTATTATAGCAATTATATAATAATAGAAATAATTTTGTCCACAGGCACAAGACCTGGTCTTCAACGAGAATGTACTCCTACAAACGTTAGGGTTCGATGTCGCAATCGACCACCCGCACACTCACGTTGTACGAACGTGTCACCTTGTCAAAGGTGAGGCACGGCGTTATCACGTGTTATCCCCTACGCTTGTCGCCGGAAGAGCGTAGATATCCCCTACGCTTGACGTCGGAAGAGCGTAGATATCCCCTACGCTTGACGTCGGAAGAGCGTAGATATCCCCTACGCTTGACGTCGGAAGAGCGTAGATATCCCCTACGCTTGACGTCGGAAGAGCGTAGATATCCCCTACGCTTGATGTCGGAAGAGCGTAGTATTGCGTGATGTCCCCTACGCTTGACATCGGAAGAGCGTATTTGTCGATAGAAGAGTTGGCGGGTTCGATTTTCTAATGCGGCAGTGGGTCAGAAGGTGCTCTATGGTTTCTGTATGCCTTTTTTAAAAAATGTGTTTGGTTTTCTTTGTATTTTTCGACACAGATCCCTTTAAGAGTTAACAGACCAGTATTGAGATGAATGTATAAATATGTAGCTGTTTTGTTATGTTAACAAATCATTTTTCTTTTTTAATATTATAATAAGAAAAAAAATAATTTTATAAGGGTCAATTTGAATAAAGTAATTTTTTATTAAATTCTTTCAAATTTGTTTAATGTCTATATTATTATATCTGTTAAGTATGATTTGATACCGGGGCTAAGTCGAATTATAATCTAGTAAAATCTTGTAGACGTACAAATTACCATAAATAAATAAGACATTTATTCCTTCCAACAGCATTTCGTTTTTTCTAGTAAGTATCAATTAATTACAAATTACAAAACATTCATACTATATGAATGACTCACGATATTACTTGATTATTAAGTCACTTATTTATTTGTTACAAATAAAGAGAAAAAAAACTATTATCCATTAATAAAAAGTTTATAAAGGCACATATTTAAAATATCATCAAATAAGTCGTAATTGATCCTAGGAGTTTTAGGTACCTAATTATATTTTTTAATTCCCGTTCCCGACCTGTGTGAAAGGGATATTTCTGCCGAAGTCATGAATAGATTCTTAATTGAAAAGAAAACCAAATGTCATATAATTATTTTTTTTTCTCTACAAGAGACCATAGATACCTCTGTAGCCGCATAGAACTGAGCCATAAGCGACTGAAAAAAAAACTTCAGATGAACTCTCAACTCATCATTTTATTACTTGCTCAGCGATGATAAGGTATGTTATTTATGTCTAACAAAATATGTGTGTGTGTTTGTTTGTCAGTCATCTTCCTTAATATCGACACTGGTCACTTATTACGCTTTTAGTTGGGGTAAGAAACAATTTTTAGTTGGGGTAAGAAACGCTTGTTAGTCGGGCTAAGAAGTCTATTATTGTCTTTTACAAATTACTTTACCCTATTAAGCGGTCAAGTAAACCTTTGTCTAGCCTATTTCTATTAGTTATGGGAATAAGTAGTTTATATAAATTGCATTTTTTTCATTCAGTCTCATAAATCATGGGTGATTTGATAAATCGAATTTTCTCGAAAATTCTAGGGGTTTTGCGAAAACACTGATAATTAGACAATGGCGATGACATTTATCAATGTTAATAAAAAAAGGTTGCATTTTTGCGAAGCTGTCGCCTTAGTAAGTTTAGGGCAATTCATTTATTACGTAAGACTATTTTTGGATTATAATGAAGATACCGCCCCCCCCCCCGCCCCCCCCCTCCCTGTTTAATATTTAATACGTCAGAATGAAAAGGAAAAAATTAATACACATTTAGTATTTATTTATTTACTCTTTATTGTTGTGTTACAAATGGCGGACTTAATGCCACATGGCAGTCTCTACCAGTCAACCATCGGGCTAAGCAGAGACATTATGCGGTCAAGTAAATTAAAGCATTATATATAGTTAAAGAGAAATAAAAACAAAATTAAATTCATAAAACTACATGTTACTTAATATAATAATTAACATCTATAAATATACCTAAATAACTACATATATTTAACATATTTATATATTTATAATACGACGAATACATGTTTACATATTTATATATACGATAAATACCTACACATATACAATAATAAATACCACTTTACTTACTTAAGAATACTATAATAAAACAGTAAATAACTATTAACTACAAATAATATAATAGTCGGACTGATATGTTTGTGTTATGGACGGTAGTATGTTTTAATATTAAAAATAAGACATGGGCCACCTCCCCTTCCCCCCAAATCGTCTTAGGTAATAAATGAATGGCTCCATTGCTAAAATAATCGTTATCTTATTATAAATATTTTTGAGGTCACAATAAATACACACACAAATTTTTTTCGCCTAAACGATTAGATTAGTGTTGTGACCAAGACGAAAAAATTTTGTTAACGATTTGTCAAATCATCCTACCTCATCTGTATTATCGGATTCCTGCGACTTAGTCTGCGTGGCTTCATAGGTTTCCCAAACACTTTCTCTCTTTTTAACTCCATTAATTATCCTATGTCCTTCCCTGCGACTAAAGTATCTCTATATCAAATTTCATCTAAATCGGTTCAACGGTTTTGAAGGGACAGACGGCTGTCTGTAAGTAGTCTGGGGTAAGTCTTTACCCCCCCCCCCCCTCCCCTCCCAAGAGGATGGATTATTTTATCTAAAACAATGACCCTTTTAATAATAAACGAAGACTTAGCGTGGATTAGTTACGCCATGTTTTATCTCTGTTCATTGAATGACAAATAGCATTTGAGTATTATGAACAAAAAAAGGCGTAAATAGTCAAAGCTTTTCATCATCATCAGCCTATTTATGGGGACACTGATAGGGTACAGGCCTTCCCAACGGATGGCATAAGGAGATTGGGCCATGACCCACCACGCGGGCCCAGTGCGGATTGGCGGGTGCTAACGACTGCAGATGCATCCGGAGACCAACGGCTTAACGTTCCGAAGCACGGAGAAACGAGAGATAGTAAATTTTTGGTCACCCATCCAATGAGCGACCACTGCGAAAGTTGCTTAACTTCAACGATCGCAGCCGACTTCGAAGCATTAAAGTCAGAGCTTATTCCTCGTATTAATAAGGGGTTGAAAAATTCTCATTAATATATATTGTAAAATTTTACCCACCCTAATATTTAATAGTAGCTTCCACACGCGGCTTTGTCTGTGTTAAAGTTAGATTTTTAGAAGTCGGACGCGAACCTAACATTTTTCAGACACAAAACGTATGTTATTCCATGTCTCAATCCCGCTAATAAAGTGTGTTTAAAATTTCATCCAGTTTTTGTGTGATAAAGTTATGAAAAAAGAAAGCAAAGGATGCTAAGTCCATACATCCTTTCAAGTAATAAAAAAAAATAACGACTTCTTTTGTGTCACTAAACAGGCTCTGCCAGAATAACAGCGCTGGTGCGGCACAATATCGCATCAGCTAATGCTAAGGCAGAGTCCTGGTTAGCTCTGTTTTTTTTTTAATTTTTTTCTGTAATATAAGGGTTAATAAAATTTAACGTATAACAATAAACGTATTCTATTCTATAAAAACAGTTTTTACAGTTATATTACTACTAACTAGTAGCCCGCCCTCGCTTCGCTTCGGTGTAGAGCTGAAGTGTAGACTATAGTTATTGTTCTCAGGCCTGTATTATACACAATGGCATTCTTCTTAACCTACCGCCGCTGCGACCCGTGTCGAGCGCGGCAGCCGTTACACAAAAATAATCCTTATAGCATGATTCAGTATTCACGTGCGACGGCGCGATGACTTATTTCATGTATAAGTTTGGTGTTTCTATACCGATTTCTATGATTCTTTTTTTATTGAATTGGTAATAATGTTAACTTTTTTAAATTAGGGATGAGTGAGAGTATTATAAACGTAAGAGTAAACAAATAGATATATCAGAATGCTCCGAACTGCTAAGCTATCAGGAGTTACACGTGTTATTGTGAGTCAACCATAAAAGATAGACATATGCTGTTGCGGGATATTTTTTAGACAATTTTATGTAGACTATTTCCGTCATACATGATTTCTATGTAACTTTAACCATTAAGGCTGCACACGCAACGGAAGCTAAAAAAATGGAGTAACTTCTCCCGTTTTCCCAACATTTCCCTTCACTACTCTGCTCCTATTGACTGTAGCGTGATGAAAAGTATACTATAACCTGCCCAGGAGTATGAAAAATAATTGTACCAAGTTTCGTTAAAATCCGTCGAGTAGTTTTTGTTTGTATAAGGAACATACACACAGACAGACAGACAGACAGACAAAAATTTTACTGATTGCATTTTTGGCATCAGTATCGATCACTAATGACCCCCTGATAGTTATTTTGAAAATATATTTCATGTACAGAATTGACCTCTCTACAGATTTTGTATAGATAATTAGTATTACCCCATATACACCATTAGAACTGGGGGCCAATCGCCTAACGGGAATGCTATGATTATCGCTTTCGTTTACGCGTTCATTTTGTCTTTTCTGACCGCCGAAGGTTTTAAATACCTCACGCTCATTTTCTTTAATATTGTCCATTACCAACGCAAAAGAAAAATAAGCGTGCAAGGTATTTGAAAAACTTCGGCGGTCAGGACTTTAAAAACCGATTTCTGACGTGGCGACTCATGCCGTGGCGACGCGTCGTCGATATATGCAGTAGTGTGTACGGTGTGGCGAAGCGTCGCCATGCGCAATCAAATTTGATTTTTGTATTTAATGAAAATAAATGTTTAATAAATAAACAGTCATCATTTTCTGCATTTTTTTTTCATATTTTTGAAGTGAAAACTTCTTTAGCGGCGTTGTGCACTTTTTTCTGTATGGGTAAAAAATGTTAAACACGTGGGCTGATCGCATCATGACACACAATAAAATTGGAAAGGTTGTTGACTTTCAATATATTGGACGAAACATAGTAATATTTTATTTTATCGTATTATAATAATAAGTCTCTATCTAGGACGTCCACATAGCAGCTTTATTGCGAAGAAAATGCATATTTTTTACAATAGATGTCGCTAGGTGCGCTTAAATGTGATTCATGTAAGTTGGTTTTTCTGAGAGATAAACTTTTTTAATATATAAATTGTCATTTTTGTGTACGATAGCGCAATAAATAAATATTGTATTCTACCACATACATGATAGTACTTTTATACTGATAAATTAAAGCAATTCGTGCAAAATTATTCCCTAACCATTCCAAAATATCAAAAATGCACAACGTTAATATTCAAGTTTTCACTTCTGCCGGCACTCCGGGAGTGCAACCCGTCTGCTGCCTGGTCCGCTTGGAACTTTATGATTTATTTAATTTCATATTATTCTTGGCGACTCCAGACTCTTTTACAGGGCACTACTGCACTCGGAGCCTGCAAAAGAGTCCAATAACTCCAAAAGAATACAACACAACTTAAACTGAATGAATAAGGATGATGACTAATTTTTTTTCTTCGTTATCAGGTAGATTATTCAAAAAGTATTGGACACGTATTTTTTCTCTTTTCACATAATATAAACGTTGCATAGATATATTGATTTGAAAAATCGCATGACGTCACAATTTTGACGTTTTGGTACAATTTTCACTTAAAAGTGACGTCACGAGCCCCTACTCCCAAACTTTGACGCTCTATGACTATGTCATTTTTTGGTTGATTGCCCAAAGAAAAAATACCGTGTTCATTATTTTTTGATCATCTAACTGACGGACTAAATAGAATTTCGTTTACTGTACCCCGTCATCACCCCTATTGTTTCGATTCTGAATTTACTCATGCGTTTGTCTGCAGCACCCAAGGACCTGGCTCAGACCTCGTACTTCATGGCATCAAACAGCCTTCACCTGACGACTATGTGCCTTCAGTACCGGCCTACGGTGGTCGCGTGCTTCTGTATACATCTAGCGTCTAAGTGGAGTAACTGGGCGGTAAGTTTTGGGTTCTACACGCGTGATTGTCTATAGCACCCGAAAACCTGACTAAGGCCCGTATTACAGAATAACAACTAAGTGTTGATCTTTACTTGAATACAGTTAGAAAGCGATGTCGCTATGTGCTGTATATAGTGACATCCCTTTCTAACTATGCTCAAGACTAGATCATTCACCAAGAATCTATCTGTAATACGGGCCTCAGACCTCGAAGGACCTGACTCAGACCTCAAAGCGTCCAAGTGGAGTAACTGGGGGCCAATCGCCTAACGGAAATGCTTTGGGAAACGCTAACGCTTACGATTTTATATTGTTATTTCTAGCCGCCTGAGGTTTTCGAATACCTCACGCTCATTTTTTTTAATATTGTTATTACCAATGCAAAAGAAAAAGAAAGAAAGCGAGGCATTTGAATACCTCAGGCGGCTAGAAATAACAAAATAAAATCGTAAGCGTTAGCGTTTTCCAAAGCATTTCCGTTAGGCGATTGGCCCCCTGGCCGGTGAGTTTTGGGTTTCTACACGCGCGTTTGTCTATAGCACCCGAAGACCTTTTTCAGGCCTCAAAGGGTATAACTGGAGTAACTGCTCGGTGAGTTTTGGTTTCTTCACGCGCGTTTGTCCATAGCACCCGGGGACCTAACTCAGACCTTAAAGGACCTGGCTCAGACCTCAAAGCGTCCAAGTGCAGTAACTGGCCGGTGAGTTTTGGGTTCTAGACGAGGCCTTCCCTATGGATGGAATAGGGAGATTGGGCCATAACCCACCACGCGGGCCCAGTGCGGATTGGCGGGTGCTAACGACTGCAGATGCAGCCGGGACCAACGGCTTAACGTGCCTTCCGAAGCATGGAGGAATTCGAGATAGAAGATTTTTGGTCACCCATCCTATACGAGCCATTTTCATTATATTTTATTAAGTTTGCATTCCGAGTCGATGCACTCTAAACTGCTGACACAGTTGACCCACTAATTGGTTTAAAAACAATATTTTAAATTAAAAGACAGTGCAATAAAGGCATTCACATCATATTGACGTATTTTAATAATTATCTCCTGACAATAGTCCCGTGACTAATTGACAGTCGTTAGGGCAGTGCTGCCAACCCGAATTTTAGAAAATTAATAGATTGTGTGCCAAATGTTGGTAGAAGTTGGTAGAATGTAAAATGCAAAATTGGTAGATCTACCACATCAATTTAGAAGATATCTTAAGATTAAAAATGTATGCAATGCAATGCAGAGCACACTTCAGATCACACCTACATGATTTGCAATAAAAATATCCGTCACCCTTAGTAATTTCTTGAAGCCAACCTGCAAATTAATTGTCTTTCTCCCATAATTTCGAATGTTTTTGGTCATAGTTTCTAGGTTTTCGTGGCGGAGTATCTAACCTAGAACTATGTGCATCGGTTTCGCTGCTGTCAGAATCCATTATATAAATAAATGCACGCAACATAGAACAAACAGCAATCAGCACCGTTAATACGCAGTTAATTAGTTTTTACAATGAAACAGGAGCAAAGATTCAACATTGATTCCGCAACAAACCAACCGGGAATGGGCCACAGTAGGAATAGTAAAATATGGGCGCGAAATTGTGTGAACGCCGAACTCATATCAACTGTTGCTGACGTTTTTTTTTGTGGTTTATGGCCTGGACTCTATGTATGGTTGACGCATCGTTGCATGGCTCACGCAATACATCGCAACGTCGCTCGTCGATATAAAAATAATACAAAGTGGTGATATGTCAAACTAATTAAAAAATAGGTAGTTTTTAGGTCTAGGGTGGTAGATAGGTAGACTGAAGTGAAAATTGTTAGATCTACCAAAAAGTTGGTAGATATGACAGCACTGCGTTAGGGTCCTAGTAACGGCCCCTACACATCCAATGACCGACCACTGCGAAAGTTGCTTAACTTCAACGATCGCCTAGCGCCGCTACTGATTCAGGTAAATATTTAGTACTGATGATAAATATTTTGGATGACAGATACCACAGTCGAACGAGGGCAGACATTGGTTCTCATACGTGGATCGGACAGTCACAACGGAACTACTGGAGAAGTTGACTTCCGAGTTCCTTCACATCTTCGATAAGTGTCCATCCAGGCTCAAGAGGAAAATGATGTCAATGACCTCAACGAGTAAGTGAATTTATTGTAAACTCTCATTTTTAACCGTAATATTTTTAGGGATGAAACGATGCCATCTAGGTATCGGTCATAAAGTATCGATGCCTTCTCGGTATCGAATAAAAAATATCGATACTTACTTGTATCGATAAATCTTGACGAACGATATAACAATTAAAAATTCGGCCACAGTTTTAATTTAACGACAACAAAATAACGTCTCACGCCACGCGATGAACAAATGACTTACTGAATAAATTGGAATAAATATAAATCATACGCAAGGCTGCCAACTGAGCAGTAGAAAAGATGCCTTCGCGAAACAAAAATTCCAACTATACACCTTACCATAGAGTAAATAATCTTCCTATGAGTTTTTTGATACTTCTCAGTGAGTGACCGACCGAGTATCGATACAAGTACTTACTTCACGATACTACTTGTTACTCAGTTTTAAAGTATCGATGCCAAAAGTACTTGGTATCGAAAGAAAAGTATCGAGTAGTTACTTGTATTTACTCGTATCGTTTCATCCCTAAATATTTTCTTATTGGATGTTGAGATTTTTTTGCCAACATTATCAAGGATGGGTGTTAAGAGTTTCGATTGAAGCCTGCATGTTACAGGTCCTCCATTTAACATTATAATCAATGTCTTATGGACAACGATATTAAATATCCTAAATACACCAACACGAACAAAATCGTGCCCGAAACCTGTCCAGTAGGTACATTGGACGATCCACGGAGCTCCGTAAGATGATCGCGTAGTCAAAAACAATATAAGGCATTATTTAAATATTGAAAGTCACCTTTAATGCATACTGTATAAGGTCTTAATTAAAATGCACGTGTCACAGTTATGACAGTTCGAAATGCAAGCTCGTAAATTTTTGCGACTTATTGCTATATGCGGAAGAATATAGACCTTTTTTCTTAGATTCTTAGCGCAACTCTGAAAGCGCTGTTAGCAATATAGCAGGAACGGACCGCGAGGAAAAGAGACGGCTATATTACCGTCCATACATTTGAATATCACAAATATTTTCTAGTTAATCAGTTTATAGTAAGTATTAGAACAGAATTTACTTCAAATGCGTTAAATTAACAAAGAATAATTAGATACCTGTCGAAAAAACGACACTTTATATACTATAAGTATTTATTTTTCGCATTTGTTCACGGAGCTCTGCGGCATGTTGAGTTTTCAACGGTCCGCGCGTGAATGTGAACCAAGAAGTGCTTGAGTGGTGATCAAGCACTACGGGATAATTTTTGGCTTCGATATAGATTGTAGATAAATATTCAATGTACAGGGGCCCAATTCTCGCGGCGTAGATATTATATCGGCTTCGAGATAATATCGAAAGTAGGGATATCTATTGAAAATATCTACTGATGGTAAAAAATGCTATTCTCGTGGATTTTCGATATTCCAATGATATTTATATCTATCGTAGATATTCTTTCACTGCCGAATGCGTTCCGTTTTTTTCGATTAAGTTAACATCATAGTCTACATAAAATAATAATAAATTAGAGCAAAATTTTACAAGCAACAAAATGATATTTTATATCTTATGAATTCCATTCATATTAAATATGAGTATACATTTTTTGAGTATAAGAAATCTCAACTTTACCTAAATTGTATGCGTATATAATTTCAACGTTATGTATAATGAAACGTCAATATTATTTAAGATTCTCCCTTTTCAAGGAAGGCAAAGGAAACAATGCCCATACAACCTAGTCTTTAGTTATATTAATCTTCTTTTTTTTACATTAGAATGTCGGTGTAACGCATTCTAATGTTTCTTGGAGTGTTTGGCACGAAATTTATGGAGTTGGCTTTTTCTATAAGCTTCTGTGAGGTAGTCGACACTGCAATAAAGTTCTCACGTCCACTTGACCGGAATAGCGTATATTTTAAAGATTCCACTAATTCTTCAGTTGCGCAGACGGTTGTAACATTAACGAATTTTAGAATAATTAAAATAAGACGCCAACCGCACTCGCAGAAATCCCGCCAAAAACTCCGTATCGTCAATAAGAAAATGGTGTCGATTCTGGCTTCTCTAAACCTAAACGTAAATTTGACAACAGTGTATCCTTGTCATTCTCCATACAGAATGAAAATGAGAGACTGATGTTAAATTTAGCTTTAAGTTTAGAGAATCGTGTCAGAATCGATACCAATGTCATTCATAACTTTATAGATTTCTAACCAAATTTTTGTTTAAACGTATTTTTTTTTATGAAGTCGGCGTCCCTCATTTTGAATGGGCCCTCTTGCACTCACAACGGCGGCGCCTTAGCACAGCAGCAGCAATCACGTCATTTATTAAATCATTGACGAAAACATGAATCAACTCATCCATCGTTAATATAAACTGGTGTCGATTCTGACACAATTCTCTAAATCTAAACTTAAACTTGACAACAGTGTTTCCTTGTCATTCTCTATACAGAATAAAAAAGAGAGACTGATGTGAAATTTAGTTCTAAGTTTAGAGAATCACGCCAGAATCGACACCATTGTTTACCTACTTCTTTATTTACTAATTATTTATGAAGGCAGGTAACAACGTCTTGAGGTAACAATAATTGGCAATGACACACGACAACACAATAAATAATAGGTAAAAAAAGTGGAAATAACAAGATTGACATGCCAAGATCCATAGATATTTATATATCGAAGGCTCTTCACCAGTCGATGTATGTCTACTGATCATCCGTAGATAAATATCTATTGCGACATGGTGAGAATAGGGCAAAAAGGTTTTCCTTCGATAAAAGCCAGATCATTCGAGATATATCGAAGGTGATATAATATCTATGCCGCGAGAATTGGGCCCCAGTTTTGACTTTCTTATCATTTTATTATATGTATAGATAAATAAATAATAATGTAAAGAAAATATAACTAGAAAAAATTCCACGCGGACCAGGCAGCAGACGGGACTCGAACCCGCACCCTTCGCAATCCGGGCGAATGCACTGACCAATTATGCTACCGCGGCCCTCACGGGCCACGTCGAAATTCTTCTAGCTATTCTTAAGCTGCAAGGCAGCGCCATCTCTTCGCATTATAGGTAAACCCACAATGTCAAATGAATACTTTTACAAGTACTAAACATTTGAAAGAAGAAACAGCAATTATAGTTATAAATTTTTTTTTTTTTTTCTAGTTATATTTTCTTTAGATTTAAACATCAAGCAGTTACATGCTTTAAAAATAATAAAATTTATAAATAATAATGGTTTTGTCCACAGGCGGCAGTTCCCCCCATTCCAGTGCTGTGCATCCTTCAGCGTCTACGGCCAGTGATAAGAAACACCAACAGCCCGCCGGAGATGAATTCGACAAGAGCTCATTCGATAAAGGTAATAATCTAATATATAAAATTCTCGTGTCGCGGTGTTTGTGGTTAAACTCCTCCGAAACGGCTTTCCCGATTCTCATGAAATTTTGTGTGCATATTGGGTAGGTCTGAGAATCGGACAACATCTATTTTTCATCCCCCTAAATGTTAAGGGTAATCCACCCCTATTTTTTTTTTAATTTTTTATGATACATCATACAAAATTACATACAACACAATATTTTCACCCTTCTACCACCAACCCCTATTTTTTATGGCGGTACGAAGTTCGCTGGGTCAGCTAGTAATATTATAATAATCATCAACATCATCATCAGCCTCTTAATGTCCCCACTGCTGGGGCACAGGCCTTCCCTATGGATGGAATAGAGAGTTTAGACCATGACCCACCACGCGGGCCCAGTGCGGATTGGCGGGTGCTAACGACTGCAGATGCAGCCGGGACCAACGGCTTAACGTGCCTTCCGAAGCACGGAGGAACGAGAGATTTTTGGTCACCCATCCAATTACTGACCACTGCGAAAGTTGCTTAACCGATTTTAATCAAATTTTCACACCGTATGCAGTTTGATTCAACTTGAAAGATAGGAAAGCTTACATCTCAATTTTAAGTGGCAATATTATTTTATTGCAAATTATAATTTTTGGGTGGGTCTTCACCGAGTCAGCTAGTATATTTATTTATTTAAACTTTGTTGCCATAATCACAAAAATGGACAAAAGGCGGACTTAACGCTAAATGCATTCTCTGCCAGTCAACCTTGGGCATAAAAAAATCCACGAACGCGGCTATAATAAATGAAAAAGCTATTTACTACATACATACACCAGTAAATATTCATTCAAAAAAGAAACCTAAGTATAAAATATATGCATAGAATATATTTACATATACAGGGTGTGACAAAAGTCCGAAATAAACTTTAGGGTTTTCTTGTGTTCCTTGTATAGAATTACCTACGAAAGTTTGACGCCTTTCAGACCATTTCTAATTAAATTAATAATAATATCGTTTTACACCTGCCTATGACCACCCTATAAATGCGTCCGATTACTACTACCTAAACAGACCCCTCCCTCCCCCAGGCGCCCCTGCGCCCCGCTCAGATACCTACAAATTTTAATTTCGGAATTCTGTAACACCCTGTATATTTACATATTCCATTTTTTTATCCCTAGAATATGAAAGGGAAAGACGTAGACAGCCAGTACCTGGTGGTTATGTACCGGCTCCAGCTCCTACGGTACCTCCTCCACAGAAAATAGACTATAATTTATACAGAGAGAAACGGGATAGGGAAGAGAGGGAGAGACGCGAAGAGAGAGAGAGGAGGCAGCAAGCCTTACAGGCTCGCCCTCAGGAAAGGCCGCCCGAAAGACCTTTACCGCCCGAAAGACCTTTAGAAAGACCACAGGAAAGACCTCTAGAACGACCCCTAGAAAGACCCCAAGAAAGGCCCCAGCAACGGCCAATACAAAACCAAAGGCCGGTCCAACACAAACCTCACCCATCATGGCCTCATCATACCAAACCCCCGCACAAACCTCACGACCATAGACACCACAGACCCCCCCATATCCCCCAAACCCAACCAGAGACACCAAGAACCAGACCTCCATCATTATTCTCCCCGGAAAACGCAACTACACCTATAGCCGCGGCCACAGCCCCTAGAAGGCCTCAACCCCCAATCCCCCACCGGAAACCGGAAGTCAGAACGAATCCCCCACCCCCCCAAATTCCCAATCGCCCCGAAAACCGTCCTCCTAGTCCGAAACGACGGCCTGATCCTTCTCTAGCTGTCAGAGATATGCAGCCTCCGGCAGTTCTGTCTCCATTTTCCTCACCCAAAGAAAGGGAAAGACAGCCCAGACAACGGGCCCCTTCCAATTCGGAACCGGAACTAGTTCCGGTTGTGAAGAAGCTGGACGAAACTCCCGGTTACGAAAATGTTATAAGGGACTCGCAGAAAGGCAATTCTATACGGGCTAGTAAACAACCGCAGCCGGATAGGAAACCGGAATCTTCTAGAACAGTCAACGGCATCGAAACCGATCCAACTTTAGTATCCAATCTGCTGAAAGAGAGCTTAGCTAAACCGGCACCGATCACAGTACCGGTTGTCGAGAAGAAAATACCGGTCGTTGAGCCCAAAAAGGAGGAGCCTCCCCCCCAAATACCGGTCGCGCCGCAACCGGTACCGGTACCGGTATCGCAACCGGAACCGATGCCCCAACCGGTAATAGAGCAGGAGACGAAACACAAGAAGGAGAAGAAGAAGAAGGACAAGCACAAACACAAGGACAAGGACAAAAGCAAGGAAGAGAGGAAGAAGCACAAGAAGGATAAAGAAAGAGAGAAAAAGAGAGACAGCCCCGTAGTGGAACAGCCGGCCGCGAACGACGGGACTTTAAAAATCACAATCCCAAGAGAGAAACTCTCCTCGAGTCCTGGCTTAAAGATCAAGATTCCCAAAGAGAGACTGGCGGCGCCTCCCCCCCCTCCCTCCAGCTCCAGCCTGAAGATCAAGATCTCCAAGGAAGTTCTAGAAACTTCGAGAAAGAGGAGCGCTGCCGCCTCAGACGCCGGGCCGCCGCCGAAGAGACAGCAGAACGGCTCAGCAAAGGTAGGAAACTGGAATGTGCCCCCCCCTTTTAGACCACTCCCCTACTTTATGGTTCAACCCCCTCCCCCTTTGTATTACGGCATGGGAATGGACGGCTACTTCTATGGAGGTATGGATTATATGTACCAACAGCAGATGCCGCAGAGTGTGCCGCAAGTGCCGCCGCAGAATGTGCCGCCTCCCCTGCCGGCGATGCCGCCGCCTCCGGTGCCGCCGCCGCCGCCGGAATAAATATATTATTTTAAGTGTGTATAACGTGAATTTTGAGTTACCCGTAAGACTTAAAATTTGTTATGTTTTTATTTTTTAAGCGTTTAACTGCTAGATGTTTAAATGTAAAGAAAAGTTTACTAGAAAAATAACGACGGGTTGCACTCCGGGAGTGCCGGCTGAAGTGAAAACTTGAATATTAACGTTGTGCATTTTTGATGTTTTGGAATGGTTAGGGAATAATTTTGCACGAATTGCTTTAATTATCAGTATAAAAGTACTATCATTTATGTGGTAGAATACAATATTTATTTATTGCGCTATCGTGCACAAACATGACAATTTATATTACATTAAAAAAGAAAAATCAACTTACATAAATCACATTTAAGCGCACCTAGCGACATCTATTGTAAAAAATGCAATTTCTTCGCAATAAAGCTGCCACGTGGACGTCCTAGATAGAGACTTATTATTATAATACGGTAAAATAAAATATTACTATGTTTCGTCCAATATATTGAAAGTCAACAACCTTTCCAATTTTATTGTGTGTCATGATGCGATCAGCCCACGTGTTTAACCTGACGCGAGTTTAACATTTTTTACCCATACAAAAAAAGTGTACAACGCCACAAAAGAAGTTTTCACTTCAAAAATTTCAACGCGGACCAGGTGGCAGACGGGACTCGAACCCGCACCCTTCGCTATCCGGGCGAATGCATTGAAAATTATGCTAATATGCTAGCTCCTAATATTACAGAAATAGTGAGTTAATGTCGAAAAATTTCTGCCAAAATATATTCTAAATCGTTTTCTCAATTAGCTAATAGGTAGGTAATGTTCCTCGGGTAACTCAAAAATCATGATATATACATATATGTACATATATATGTTAATATATTTAACTTGTTTTGTTATAATCATACTTTTGGTGTACCTTTATATGACAAAATCAATGGATAGTGGAATATCTCCTTTGCAGTAGGTATAAAACAGATCTTTGAAACTACGCAACGGATGTTAATGCAATTTTCAACAATCTCAATCTAACTATTTGAATCACACAAATTTTCAACAAAAAAAAGTTTTATTTTGTATGCTAAACTAGCTGTGCCCCGCGACTTTGTTTGCGTTGTTGGAATATATCTTTATATATATAATTCTTCTGTGAGTGTGTATGTCACTGAACTTCTCTTAAACGACTGGACCGATTTTGATGAAATTTTTTGTGTGTGTTCAAGGGGATCTGAGAATGATTTAGATTCACAATTTTGTCCGCTGGACAATGGTTTTTTAATTAAATTTTTTTATGACGGTACGAAATTCGCTGGGTCAGCTAGTTTGTATACATAAATTGAGTGTATAGTTGGAATATATATACGTGTATGTCCTACCCTAAATTACGACACAACATGATTTTCATGATAAAGCGAATACTCTATTTGCAAACGATATTAGGTGTGAAATCGTAAAAATTAAAACTGGTGACGATTCTGGCATGATTCTCTAAACCTAAACTTAAATTTGACAACAGTGTATCCTTGTCATTCTCTATACAGAATGAAAAGGAAAGAAAGATGTTAAAGTTAGTTTTAAGTTAAGAGAAACGCATCATAGTCGAGTCTTGCATATTGATCGTATCGTTATATTATATAGCTTCTAGCCTTCCTAGATAAATGTATAATCCAACACAATCATATTTTTTCAAATCAAGACCCGTAGTAGCTCCTGAGATCAAGGCTTTCAACCGAGCGTACAAACAAAAACCTTTCAACTTTTTAACATTATATATATATATATAATGTTATGCTTGCGTAAAACAAACGATATTCCACTGGCCAATGGTTTTAGTTTTAACAAGTTTTCGAAATCCTTAGTTGACAGTAAAGTTTTGTCCGAGAATTAGTTAAGTGCCAACTCACATCACAGTTATAAACTAGTAAGTTATTTTGAAGATTTTTGAAAATTATATATTCATTTATGAGCAATGAATTTGAAAAACCCCCGGCTTAGTTTTAGATTAGAATGAAAATGGAAGATAAGGTACGCTTCTTACTAGCGTCAAGCAATAGGTATTTATGATATAAGTGTGGCTAGTTACACACACACACACACTCATGCACACACACACACAGAGAGAGAGAGAGACAGACAGACAGACACTCACTCACAGAGACACACACACACACAGCGAGAGAGAAAGAGAGAGAGAGACAGACACACACACACAGACAGACACACAGAGAGAGAGAGAGAGAGAGAGACACACACACACAGAGAGAGAGAGACACACAGACAGACAGACACACACACAGAGAGAGAGAAAGAGAGAGAGAGACACACACACAGGCAGACAGACACACACAGAGACAGACAGACACACACACAGAGAGAGAGAGAGAGAGAGAGACACACACACACACACAGAGAGAGAGAGAGAGAGAGAGAGACACACAGACAGACAGACACACACACACACACACACACACACACACACACACAGAGAGAGTGAGACACACACACACGCATATATTAAAAGGCACGCGCGCATTGCGCACATCTCGCCCTTGTTTGGTATGGATAGGGTTTTCTAAACTTTTATGTAATAACTAAAAAATGAAAATCCGTAATTGGCATTAAGATTTAAACTTTATTGCAAAACCTGTATTATATTAAGGAAATACTGTGGATTTTGGTGTTGAATTAGATAAATAAAATAATATTTGTTGCTTAGGTATTCACGCACATCACTCATTAAATAAAACTAGTTTTAACGGGTTAATACACGAATCTTTATTTATTTATTTATTGACGTTTCGCAGCCTTTTTAGGTCTGCATCGTCAGAATAATGATTTTTTATTTAATTTCGTCAGAATAAGGTAGCTCGACAAAAACAAAAATTCTTAATTTTTTTTAAATAAACATTCACAAAAAATCTTGATTGAAGTGTTAAAAAACACAGTTTTATAATATTACAAATAAAATGCAGCGGCTTTTTAAAAGCATCGAATATTTTTTTAACACGGTATATCCGCAATATTGTTATATTGAGTGCACATGCAACGTTTTTGGATGTCAAATTGCAACTCCGGCTCATTGTGTGCATGCGTCTTATTAGAACTCAGTGTAGTATCTTCCCTTTTTGATTTAATCTAAAGTTATAGTTAATAATTTATTAGACATATCAGTTGATTTTCACACACTTTTACGTGATTTTTAGATAACATTGGATTATATGATAATTTAACTTAAATGACTTACTGACTTTAAGAATTACAAGGGATTTTAATAGATTCGTATTCATTGCTTGTAAAAATCTCCAAGAAAATATCTAACATTCATTTGGTTATTTTAATTGTAATTTTGTTATTTGTTTCAATAGAAATTTAACAAGTGGTTATAATATTTATCGAAAACACATTAATTTTAATATCATTTAAGGAATTCTTGTAGATATGAAATTTATGTTTCAATGACACCATATTTTTGTATTTTACAAACCGTTTGTTTATAATTTACCTAGTTAGATTGTAAACGGACATTTAAATAGTCAAATCAAAGTTCTGAGCCTCCGAGTGACTTCTTAGTTGTGATGATATTCCAAGACTGGCAGTAATATAAGGTAACATCTTAAAGATAGTCTCGTATTTATCCGCCTCTATGGTTTTTTACATCTTAAATCAACATTAAAAGTTATCTATCATTTTATGAATTGAAAATGCACGTGTAAAGCATTCCCTCTTAAAATTAATAATAACGGTAGGTTGTGAACTACGTTATTTTACAAAGTAACGAAACTTACCTTATTATCACAAAAAGAAATCACATGCATTCAACACGTGTTTAAGAAATAAAATTAAAATTTGCGAGAACCTTATTTAGGCAGATTTTCATACAAAATTTAACTTTATTGTGATAAAGTGAAATAAGTCTTAATTTATGATTTTATTTATTTTTTAAGCATTTAACTGCTAGATGTTTAAATCTAAAGAAAAGTTTGCTAGAAAACAACCCACGCGGACCAGGCAGCGGAAGGGACTCGAACCCGCATCCTTCGCTATCCGGGCGAATGCACTGACCATTATGCTACCGCGGCCCTATTAGCCGCGTCGAAATTTTTCCTAGCCTTAAGCTGCAAGGCAGCGCCATCTCTTCGAATTGTAGGTAACCCACAATGTCAAATGAATACTTTTTCAAGTATTAAACATTTGAAAGAAGAAAAAGGAATAATATTAATATTTAATTGCAAAGGCTCAAGTGTCCCTATCAACAATCGCCAGTTTACGAATAAATCTAGGTAGATTGTAAACTAACCATTTATTGCATCACCACAATGCTGTTTATGAAGTTTTAACTGTTACAATATATTTATTTCGTGTTAGATTGTAAAATTGTTTATATACAAACTGTTTTAATGTTAACAACGAAATCATAGATACTTTTCTGTTGCACATTGGCTCAGTCTGTATCTTTCACTCAAGTGAATATAGAAAGGGACAGCGAAAAATAGCTTTCATAAGAAATGACACCCGGCATTTTATTTATTTATTTTTGTGCCAAAGTTGTATACTTTTTTATTTTTTTTATCTGTGTTTCATAATTGGGTAACGTAGTCTGGCAATATTTGTCATCAGCAGCTAGCTGTCAATGTCAAATACGTAGGGTTGTCATCAAAAGGGTTTCTATATCAAAAAATATTAATCATTAAATAACTTCTTTCCACGATTCACTAAAAATAAGGCAAAAGTAGTTTTATGTAGCAAATAATTTTGGCTTTATTTTGAGA